CATCCGCTTCGCTATTGGTCAGTTCACTGATTTGACCATTAGCAAAATGGATGAAGTGGATCAAGTATGGCGTGCCATAGTAATCGGTTCAACCGATTTTCATGCGGTTCGCCCATTCGCTGTTGGTCAGAGTACTGAACTGACCAGTAGCGAATGGGATGAACTTGCTGAATCGGGACTCTGGCAGTGGCCTGAGTCCATTTGGATTTGGAGCGGAATCGGCGCGCAAGACGATGCTCACACCGACATCGGCGTCGCGCGTACGCGATTATTATAATCGGACGCGTACGCGACGCCAAATGACAAATGCGTATCATTTAGCGCCCGATACGTTTTGTTGAGTATAGCGCTCCTAGAGTTTTTTTTTTGATCAGTTTGAGCTATTTTGATCTGTTTGGCCTTTTCAAGCTACTTACTTCTCTCTTCCTCCAGACGTGCTTCTTCCTGCTCTCTTCTACGTATGTACTCTTCACGGTCTCTCATTTGTCGTTCCTCTTCCTCACGTCTTCTTCGGTTAGCCTCTGCTCTTTCGGACTGTCGTCGCCATGCCTCTTCTCGTCTTCGTTGTTCCTCTTCTTGACGACGGCGCTGAGCAGCTTCTTGCATCTGACGTTCTTCCTCTTCACGTTGACGACGTTCAGCTTCCAATCTTTGTCGTTCTTCTTCTTCTCGTTGACGTCGTAGAGCTTCTAGTCTTGCCCTCTCCTCCTCCTCACGCCTACGTCGTTCCTCTTCTGCACGCCTACGTCGTTCCTCTTCCTCACGCATACATCGTTCCTCTTCCTCACGCATACGTCGTTCCTCTTCTTCACGTTGTCTTCGCATTTCCTCTTCACGCTGCCTTCGCAGTTCCTCTTCCTGCTGTCTTCGCAATTCATCCTGGCGTCTACGTTCTTCTTCCATTCTGCGACGCTCCTCCTCTTGCCTTTGTCGTTCTGCCTCCTCTAGTTCTCTCTGACGCTGCAGCTCTCGCTGACGATATTCTTCCATCTGTCTCATTCTTGTCTGTTCATCATCCATGCGCTGTTTATGATGTTTTTCGGCAGCTTCGCGCATTTTCTTTCGCATCACTTCGTCCTCTTCCATCAGTCGATTCACACTCTGTTCTCGTCTACGACGCGAGTCATCCGTTTCGCGTTCGCGCGGCCGACCGCGTCGCCCGCTACTCAGACTTGACGTACGTCCCCTACTTCTCGATGGTCTCGAGCGTGCATGTTCGGTTCGTTGTTTTGCAGTCCACAATGGCGATCCGAGTTCTGCGGTTTTACAACTATCCGATTTTTTCAGCACTTTTCCACTTCCACTATCCCTCATTAACGGATACGTATCATTTCGTAGTAATCG